CAACTTCAAAGATAATAGCATCCGAAGTTAGCCAATCGGCGGCTCCTAAACACCTCACGCGTTACATTCAAGAGAAAGAGTCTTACAGTTTCCAAAACATATAAATTCATACAGACCGAATATATATACACATACAAGCCAAATGTCATAATCAGGGTTTACACTTTTCCAGCTTCAAGTGGCAATCCAAAATAAAAAGTACGTTATCCAAGTTAACGCATCACAGCCCACAAAAGTAGTCATAGTATTCAAGTACACCCCAAAAGAGAAACATGAGTAAGTTTCAAAGCTTTCAATTTCCAGAACCTGTAAGGAAAACAAATAAACGTGGGGTGAGCTAAAGCTCAGTGGTGCCCCAAAACATGCAATTAAATAAAACAAATAACACGTATTGATTTCAACGGAAGTAAACAAATAGGAAAGCATGTAACAGCACAAGGTAGGATACAGGGGCTCTCAGGAGCCATTTTCCTCCCTTGATCACCATTCATCGTAGTTGACCCTCCGTCAACTCTCACTACTTATAGTCCATGTAGATCCTCTCATTTTTACTCCTAACCCGTCACCGTTCTTACCCCTGTCCCGGGCCCGAACGCCAACTAAGGAAGCAGTATACTCGAGATATACCCTTAGAAAATTGGGAGCAGTATACGTGAGTATACCCTCAGGAATTGGTCGAGGGATTCACCCAACGACGTTACTGCAGTTGGATTCAGGAGTCGAGGGATTCACCCAACGACGCAACTACATTTAGATTCGAGGATTCACGAAAAAAAATGATTCACGCAAGTCACCACTCGAACGGCTAGTGCGATAAGGTACACACTGCTCACTTCGATGGATCAAAAACTAGTTTTGTAAGTATCACATTTCAAGTCCAGAAAGCACTTTAATCAAGTTGGCATAGAACAAGCAGGGACACTCACCAAGAGTGAAGTTACTGATCAAGCTGGGAATCAAAATCTGCGTCCTCGCTAAATCCTAAAATACCAAATTTTAAAACTATAAGTTGGCTATACTAGTTCTAGGATTACGTAGGAAAATTATTCGTAGTATAGCTAGTTTATTTGCTTGGAATAAGTCAACAAACCATGTAGTATTAAAATTAGTAAAATACTTTGTAAAGTTTCTTTAATATTACTTTTCTTGTAAAAGTGTTACTAGAACAAATTTTACGTGAAATAATGTTTCTTGCCGAACAAGTTTTCTGCACGTTTAGTTAAAATCGCTAAAATCTCGTGTTTTGGAAATTTCCTCTAGAAAACTGGCAAGGGACTGGTCTTAAAGAAAGAAAAGGAAATGAAACAAGACTTAGGGTTTTAAAAGCTAGAATAGTTATTTTCTATAACTATCAAGGCTAGTTTAAGCTAAAGGAAAGTTGTCGGTTGGCAAAAATTTAGGCAAACTACTAATTACTGAGGTTTATCGATTGATACTAGCGTAAAAATATTTTTGATTAGCTTGATCAAAATTGCTCGAGTTCACAGGGTCGAATCGACTTTCACAGGTTCGATTCTATTTCGAAGTCACATAATAACCTAGATTTGCCAACAAATAAAAATCACTTTTCAATAGCAAATCACTAGGGCTTCGTCAATCATTAGCCCTAGGTTTCAATAAATTCATTTCTGATCAATAATAAAATAAATGACCAAGGCTTCGTCAATCATTAGCACTTGGTTTTGGCAAACTCATATCACATTTCAACTTAATCAGAATAAATATAAGCCCTCCAAGCAATTCTAGCAGTTAATTTCATCACGCTTTAACACTTATATAAAATCATTCAAATGGCCAAGGGCTTCGTCAATCGTTAGCCCTTAGCATCCAATAATTAGTTCTTATAGCAATAAAGCTAACATTTCAGATGTTTGGAATCACTAACAGGTATATGAACATAAGGCAAGATTGGTAACAATATTTTGTCCAAGATCTCAACCTTGCGGCTTCCAAACATTTTCCAGCAGCTTGTTTTTCTTGGATCAATTTTTTTCTCAGCTAAAACAGTGTTTTAAGTACTCCATTGGGACATGAAAATTCTTAGCTAGATGATAAAGATTTCCAATGCAAAACCAGATTCAAACAACAATTATAATCATCTAATACAATTCCAGAAATTTGTCCAATTAGTCTCGGATGAACATATATGTAGCAGATTTCTATTTCATTTTATTTTTCTCATTTAAACCCATTAATTAACTACATGCAGAGCTTAATTATCTTGTAATTAACTAGTTAATCATGGTTAGAGGCTCAAAACAGCAAAATTATACCAAATGAGCTGCATTATTCAAGTCAAGTCCTCGGCAGTCCCAAATTCTTACGCATAACAGATTTCTTTTTCTTCAAATCATCATTCGATGGTTCAAAAATCAACATGCAAGGTCCTAAACATCTTAATCATTCAAGTTTGAGTTAGCTAATCATAATCTCAGGTTCTGATTATCACAACAAAGCAGATTACATCGTGCATTTCTTAATCGATTCTCGGCCAACCATGTTCTTTTCAAAACAGAGTTTTCTTATGATTTAACATCATCATCCGAATGCACAAATCAACATGCATGGTCTTAATCATCAAGTTTTCACTCAGCTAATTACATTTAGGTGTTCAGATTGCTAAGAGTGAACAATTTCGGAGCTGCATTTCCGTCCTTCAGCTCACGGCCAAAATTTATCCCTTCGCACAGCAAGTTTTTCTTTTCTTTTCCAGTTCATCTTCCGATCGATTAACTCTACATGCATGCTCCTAATTAACTCAATCAACCTCTAAACATCTAGTATGGGTTTCAGACATTACCTCAGCTTGAAGCTTAACTCACACAACAAGCAGCTGCAAAATTTTCTTCCTCTCGGCTTGCTCACGCACGCGGGGCTGGTTGGTCTGAGTTCAGTGGTTGCAGCTGTAATGATTTTGGTTGAATTGAGCTCGGCTGGTTGAGGTGAAGAACGAATGGCAGCTCTCGGGTGATGAAGGAAGTGATGAAGCTCACACAATTGTCTCTTGCTCTCACCCTCTCTCTGACAGTTCCAGAACCGAAGCTCGCACGGCTCTCTCTCTCTCTGGTTCCTCTCATCGATGATACCAAGGCAGCAGGTAAAGTGAGGCAGATTGGTATTGTGGTGATATAAGGAAAAGGTAGAATGGAGTTGCGGTTTTGAGGGAGTAGAGGAAATGGCTTGCGGATGGGGAAGGTTGAGTGCATGAGGGAGTTTGAGTGTGGAATTGGAGAAGGTGCGGGTTGGCCGAATGGAGAGGTGGTAATGATGTTGTCCGGAATGCGTTGGGATTGCATGGTGATTTTGTGGGATTGTGAAGGGTATTTTAGGCTTTTCACTTTTCCTTCTAATGACCACTTAAGCCCTTGATTTTAGCATAATCTCACGAATTATCCCTAAGATGATTTAAACTCCTAATAATGTACTAATCCCACAAGGATTTCGATTATCGAAACTTTTACGTCCTACGTATACCTAGTATACTTAAACCATTTTTATCGAAAACTTATCGATTACATTTTAGTATTAAGGTTCCTAGTAATTCCTAACATTATTTAGCGATTAAATTAGTTATCAGAATTTCCAATTATTTATTCTCAAGAAATAGAGTTAGTCTAACTCGAAATTTATTGATTTAGTATAATAAGGTCAAAGGAAATAATAATTTGATACAAGCGGGTCAGTTTGCACATAAAAATTATTTTTACGCACTTTTTGTGAAACAAAGAAGGATAAAACTATAATTTATTGCAGGTTAAGAAATGCAAATGAAATATGAAATGATATTTGTCTATATGCATTTTTAGGGTTCTCACATCCTCCCCTCCTTACAATGAATTTTGTCTTCAAAATTCACACTTTCTAAAGAAATAAATCAGGGTATTTTTTCCGCATTTCTTCTTCTAGTTCCCAAGTTGCTTCCTCTAGTCCATGGTTTCTCTATAGAATTTTTACCAGAGGTATTTTCTTATTTCTCAGCTCCTTCACTTCTCTTTCTACAACCTGAACTGGCCCTTCCTCAAAGGTCAACGTCTCATCGACCTCAATTCCTTCCAATTGCAGCACATGGCTTGGGTCGGGGTGGTATTTCCTAAGCATGGAGACGTGAAATACATCGTGAACCTTGGCCATGCTTGCAGGCAATTTCAACTAATATGCTACCTTCCCGACTCGTTTCAAAATTTCGAAAGGTCCGGTATATCTTGGCTTTAGCTTCTTACCTTTCTTAGATACTACTCCGCCCTTCAAGGGTTTAACTCTTAGGAAAACTTTGTCTCCTACTTCGAATTCCAAATCTTTTCTCCTTGTGTCGGCGTAGCTCTTTTGTCTACTCTGGGCAACTTGAAGCCTTTCCCTAATCAATTTTACTTTCTCCTGGGCTTCTTCTATCCAAGGTATCGCTGTTGGATCTACGACTTTCTTTTCTCCAACTTCATCCCAGTGAATTGGAGATCGACACCTTCTCCCATACAACGCTTCATAAGGTGCCATCTGAATTGAAGCCTGATAACTGTTATTGTATGTGAATTCCACTAAGGTCATATATTGACTCCATTTACCTCCAAAATCTAATATACACGACCTCAGCAGATCCTCCAAAGTTTGAATTGTCCTTTCCGACTGCCCGTCAGTTTGGGGATGGTACGCGGTACTAAATTTCAACTTGGTCCCCAAAGACTCCTGAAATTTCTGCCAAAAACGCGAGACAAACCTTGGGTCGCGATCAGACACGATACTTACAGGAATACCATGTAATCTTAGGATCTCTTCTGTGTACAACTTGACCAGTTTTTCCAAAGAAGAACTCATGCTTACGGGGAGGAAATATGCAGATTTAGTGAGTCGGTCAACTATTACCCAAATTGCATCAAATCCTTTTTGACTTCTAGGCAATCCCGTTATAAAATCCATTGTTATATGTTCCCATTTCCATTCAGGGATTTCTAACGGTTGCAATAAACCAGAGGGCTTCTGATGCTCAGCTTTTACTTGTTGGCAGATCAAGCATCTCTGTACAAACTCTGCCTCTCCTTTTTCAAACCTTCCCACCAGTATAATCCCTTCACATCATGATGCATCTTGGTCACACCTGGGTGTATAGTATACTTCGATCGATGTGATTCTTCTAAAATTCCTTTCCTTTTCTCTTCATCTGCCGGAATCACAATTCGATCTCGAAACCTCAATGCACCTTCAGACCCTAATTTAAAGTCTAGGGTTTCCCCTTTTTGCACTTTCTCCAAATTCTTCTGAATCATAGGGTCCGTTTTCTGGGTCTCCTTAATACGCTCTAGTAACGGTGATTTTAACGATAAGTTCCCAAATAATATCTTCAGTTTCTCCGAGCGAGGGTTCCAACCACTTATTTCTTCTAACATGTCCCACTCTTTAACCATTAACCCTGCTACTTGGGCCTTTCTACTTAGAGCGTCAGCTACTACATTGTCTTTTCCTGGGTGGTAATTAATCGAACAGTCATAGTCTTCCAGAAATTCTACCCATCGCCTTTGTCTCAAATTTAGTTCCTATTGGGAGAACAAATACTTGAGGCTCTTATGGTCCGTATAAACCTCAAAAGTCACGCCGTACAAGTAGTGTCTCCATTTCTTTAAGGCAAAAATTACTGCAGCTAGTTCTAGGTCATGAGTTGGGTAATTTTGTTCATGAGGTTTCAATCTCCTAGAAGCATAGGCAACTACCTTACCCATTTGCATTAAAACACATCCTAGACCTTCTTTGGATGCATCGGAATACACGGCGTAACCTTCTCCTCCATCAGGTAATACCAAAACCGGAGCGGATGTTAAACGCTTCTTTAACTCCTAAAAACTTGACTCACACTTCGGAGTCCAAATAAACTTAGTCCCTTTCTTGGTTAGCTCGGTCATAGGTCCTGCAATTTTCGAGAAATCCTGGATAAACCGCCTATAATAACCTGCTAATCCCAAGAAACTTCTAATTTCCGTTGGAGTTTCTGGCTGCTTCCAATTCATCACGGCCTCAACTTTTTCCGGATCCACGGCAATTCCGTCTTTGGAAATCTTGTGCCCTAGGAATGAAATTTCCTCCAACCAAAACTCGCACTTACTGAACTTGGCATATAACTTATGCTCTTTTAATATCTGCAAAACTATCTCCAAGTACTTAACATGTTCCTCTCGGGTCTTAGAGTATATCAAGATGTCATCGATGAAGACCACTACAAACTGATCCAAGTGTTTCTTAAAGACTCTCTGCATTAGGTCCATGAATGCAGCTGGTGCATTAGTTAATTCAAAAGGCATGACTGCGAACTCAAAGTGTCCATATCTTGTGCTGAAAGCAGTCTTGGGTACATCCTCCAAATTATTTGTGTATGAATGCTTATGATTGTCTACATTCTTTTGCATGCTCATCTTTGCCTAACATAGGAAATCATTGCATATACATTGATTTTATATGACTAATTTTCATGCATCATTCTTTCACCATTAAATTCAAATGAATGATAAACCCTGAGGTTTGTGCAAAGATAGGGGATTCAATCATCAGTTACAGGGAGTAACATACAACAAAGCTACCACCTGGATTGGGTGACGTGGTAAATCTGCATTTTATCAGTCTCAGAAATTGAAAGGTTTAAGGCAGACGCCGCCGAGCCGAAATAAAAGCATCACAAGACTCATGTTTACACGACTCTCAAGGCAAACCGGATCAAATAATGGTGGCAAGCCCATTATTTCTTCTTTTCTTGCAGGAATGTTGCATTTACAAACAAAAGCAGCCACTCTCTTTTTGGCACCTAAACCGATGTCAGACAAAGCTTCCCAGTAAACAAGGATCGATGTTATTTGCAAGACTCGATCATAAGAAACAGCATCAGCTATCGTTTCAGTCACAGAAATCCAAATTTCCCTCTTGGTACAAAAGTTGAACTATTCTCAGGTAAAAAAAAAAAAAAAAAAAAACTTAATTCATTGTTTAAACTTCCCCAGTGAAGTCGTTTTAAATTCCGTTTAAATTCCTGTTCGGGCAGTCCCGTTTTAAATTCCTGTTCGGGCCAGTCCCGTTTTAAATCCTGTTCGGGTCAGTCCCGTTTTAAATTCCTGTTCGGGTCAGTCCCGTTTTAAATTCGTTTTAAATTCCTGTTCGGGCAGTCCCGTTTTAAATTCCTGTTCGGGTCAGTCCCGTTTTAAATTCCTGTTCGGGCAGTCCCGTTTTAAATTCCTGTTCGGTCAGTCCCGTTTTAAATTCCTGTTCGGGTCAGTCCCGTTTTAAATTCCGTTTTAAATTCCTGTTCGGGTCAGTCCCGTTTTAAATTCCTGTTCGGGCCAGTCCCGTTTTAAATTCCTGTTCGGGCAGTCCCGTTTTAAATCCTTGTAGACACCAAATTTTTGGTGTAATTTCATTTTCTAGTTTTTATTTGTCGTGTTCATTTTTAGTTTTTAGTTTCCAGTTTTATTTTTATTTTTATTTTTAAGTTTTATCATAGAATTTGTTGAAAATGAAAAAAGGGAAAAAGGAAAAAGCGTTCCAAAAAAATGTGTTTTATGTCTTTTAAAATCAATCTTTTAGCATCTTACTTATTTTTGTTAAGTTATTTGAAAAAAAGGAAAAAAAGGAAAAACAATGAAAAATGGAAAATGAAAAAGGAAAAAAATAAAAAATTGAAGATTGAAAGTGGCATTTTGTTATTTCTAGTTTTATTTTTGTTTATTCAATCCAATGTTAATTAAGTTACTTTTGTTATTATTATTATTTGATTAAATCGGTTAGTTGTTAAGTTAAAAAAAAAAAAAAAAAAAAAAAAGAGGGTTCGCGGCAGGCAGGCTGCATTCTTTTTGCAGCTTGCCAAGGGCATTTTCATGCGTGCCATGAAGGGGCAGGATGAAGGCAGAGGCTAGCCTTCATCCTCGCCATTCAAGGAAGGGTTTTAGGGGATTGGAGATGGTACAAAAAAAAAAAAAAACATCAGCCGCAAAGGGATCCTTATCGGGGGAAAGATAGAAAACAGCAAAAAAAAAGCTAAGGGAGAAAACCAGCAAAGGGAAAGAGAGAAACTGAGGGGAAGGGCTTCATCTGAGGAGTGAACGGCTGGGGTTTAAGGGAAGTGATAGCTGCAAATCTGGAGTGAACGGAAAAATCAGAGGGAAGGAGAGCTAAGGGGGGACGAGAGAGAGCAGCAGCCGAAAGAGAGAAATCGAGAGAGGGCATCGAGGAAAAGAAAAAGCTTACGGCAAAAGAAGGAAACAAAGGAAGGATTCTGGTTGGCGGCTGGGGTAGAGAACAACAAAAAGGGGCCGAGGGATTGAGAGAGTTTCGAGAAATCAGAGAGTAAAAGGAAAAGAAAAGAGACCAGCAAGAAGAAAGTGAGAGGAAAACAAGAAGGAAACATTTTCAGAAATTTGCCCGGATAATGAACCAGGCTGGCGATTCACCCTGTTCTCACTCATTTCAGATCTAGATAGTCTATATTTCTGAGAGATCTCTTTTCCTACACCTTCTTGGGATGTCTGGGAGCAGCTTTCGTTCAACAACAATCGACTGAAAACATCTCTAAGACAGCTAAATGGAAGCTCCAAGTGGCGGGTTCATCAGCGCTATGTTTTACGGCGCGTTATTCCTTTGCTTCGTTCCCCAGATTCTGTACAGCCTTCCCACGACTCTTTGCTTCCATCCGGGTTTAGAACACCCTTAGGTAACCATGTCTCCCTCCCTGGTTTGATTTAACGTACTTTTGCATGAAGAACAAGATCCGTTTGATGTTTTTTTTTGTTTTTTGCCACAGCCTTTCCCTTGCTGTCTTTTTCCTTCGTTCGGCATTTAATGGTCTTTGCATGATGCATGTTTACTGAATATATCATTTTCGCTTGGGTTAGATTGCATATTGATTGATGAGTCTGTTAGCTTTGGTTTTTGCTAATGAAGATTTGTCCGATGTTAGATGCTGTGGAAGTAAGGATGAATGTTTGCTTTTGACTTGGGCTTGGTACCAGAATTTGTTGCGTGCAATGGCTGGAACCTTTAGAGTATCAGAAATCTGCTGCAGAAATGTTAATGTAGTTCAGTAGCTAAGTGTCTAAAGGCTATAGTGCCAAAGTTTCTGCTTGCTTGAAATGTTCATGTTGCTTGACTGCGATGGTTTTTCCATGATTGACAGCAAGTTTCCACTTTTTCTTTGCTGCAATTTTTTTTATCCAGTTGCCTTGATTGAATCTCCTGGGATAGATATTCGTGTTAGGTAGTGTTAATAAGAGTAATTTGAAGTCTTTGCTTCAGGTTTTGATTGTTGAATTAGCAGATTTTGTTTGAATTACTTCACACGAGCACGTCTAGGTGAATCACCAGATATTGTTGAAGTTGTAAGAACCCAGAATCTCCACGAGACACTCCCATAAAACTGGTTTTCCTGTCTCGATAAGTTGCTAAAGAGAATTGCAGCAGTTTCTCTTCTCAAATGTTGGCATGTTTTCTAGCTCATCTTATTGCATTTTTGTCCTTAAGTCTGTTAGATTTCTATCTACTTTTGTCGTAAATATCTGCACTTTGTGTTGAATGGGTGAAGATACGTTGGGATCCTGGGCAGGAATGTTTGTCTCGTTTGCAAATTCAGAATAATAGCTTCAAATTGCAGATTTGTTTTTCTTTCTTTGTAGCATTCGAATGACCACTTTGCTTGGATTTCTTCCATCTAATTGATTTGTTAAGTGATGTTTAAATGGAAGCAATCTCAAAGTTGTTGTATGGAATCTGTTTTTGCCGAAATTGAAAGAGGTTTGCGCATGAAAATTTTCCAGCACTTATATAATCACTTGCCAAGTTTTTTTTGTTTTAGTCTATTTTTAGATGTTGAAGTTATGTACTTGGTGGTTTAGTTTAGAGTTTTGGTTTTGTTTGAGAAAGTTTGATCAAAAGTTGCCTGGGGACATGAATTTGCAAACAGAAAGTGCAGTAATTGCTTGTTTCTTGTTGTAGAATGTTATCTTACGTTAGTCTGCATGCATGCAAAAATAATTCTGAAAATTGCACTTTGACCCCTTGGTTTCTAACTAATGCCGCTATGACCCAACCAATTAAATGTTTTCTTCAATTTGGTCCTTGGCTGTTTTAATTTTTGCAATTTCATTGCTTGCTTTGCTTCAACTAATTACCATGCTTTGTCAATTGCACTTAAGTCATGACCTTGGGGACTTTATGACTAAGTGAGCCTTGTTTTGCCCATTTCTTTTAATTTTTCCCAAATAAATTGGTACCTTGACCATTTCTTTTATTTTGGAGGATAAATAAGTGATTTCACTTCATTGAGGCCCAATTTCAAGGGAGGTACACTCTACCCTTTTATTTGCACTTCATTTGACCTTATGTGCTCCTATGTGCTATGTGGATATGCATGTCTACTTCGCTTTCCTTGCCTTGTCCAAATTTCTTTCAATTAGTGCATTTACTTGCTTTTGCTTTTATTTAAGTGTTATGGGGTATGTGTACACCTCTTGGCTTGTAATAGATAGGGCTCGGAGAGCACCTGGTCCATTTCCCTTCCCCTTTATGCTTTTATGGGGTATGTGTACACCTCTTGGCTTGTAAGGCGGAATCCACCACGTGTCTTGCATGTGATCATTTTTAAGGGGCAAAATTGTCAAATTAAATTTTATATAATCTGATTTGTAGTCCCTCGCATATTACAAAATGAATTGGTTCGTCATTCACATTTAACAAAATGAATTTCTTTCATTCCTTACATTTCAAAAAATGAATTTTTTCATCCCTTATTAGCCATGTGTACAAATAGTTTTTTTTTAAACCCATGCATATATCTATTTGATTTCACCTGAGCAGTATGAATAGCATTTCATATATCTCTATTTGATTTTACTTAAATAGTTTAATTGTAGTTGCACACATACTATTCAATAGACATATATATGGGTTTAAAACCAACAATTTTATTTTAAACCTATGTGCATATCTATTTGATTTCACCATGTGAACCTAATCAATATTTGTGACCTTTTCTCTTTTGGTAATAATTTATTTATTGAGTTGTATAATAAGGTCATCTAATTAATGGGTTCTAACTCAAATTCTATAGTCATGCTAACAAATTGCAGTTTAAATCTGAAGTTTCTATTCGCCACTTTTAAAACCAATAGTTGAATTACTTGTTTTGTGATTGTTTTAAAATTTAAAAGTGCCAATCACTTACTTCTTTTTGTCATACTTTTTCTTTATTTATTTTTTCTGTCCAAAATTTAATTTGATATAAACACTC